CTCTGCTGTAACATCCTCTGAAGAAAGCCTAGCTTGAACAAGCTAGAGGTAGGCCAGAGACTTGTTTCCCACCCCCTTTTCTGCATGTGCTGCCTTCAAGGAAATCAGCTCATTAAAGGAAGACAACCTGTGGTTCCAGAAAGCTTTCTTTTCAGGCTCCAGACCATGAGAAGATTATGTTATGACACTTGGCCCCTGCTTTCCCTGGCCAACTCAATTGCCTTCTGTGCTATATGCCTGTGTCAGTAATACTAGGCTCTTCATTTCCTTGAGTATCTTGGAAGTTCTTCCTTTCAAAATGTACTGACTTCAAAATAAGGGAACTAGGTTTGAGACACTTAGGGTCCTTTAAATGAGTAAGCTGCTTGAAGGAAATCCACAATGAGAAAGTCCACTTCACATTTTATCATGATAGGTGCTCATGAGACAAAAATTCAATTATATTTCCAAAATACAAATAATAGTGAAAAATAGCCTTAACATTTGTTTTCTCTCCTAGCTTCCTTGACTATTACATCTTTTATTCTTGTTTATACAAATGAGAATAAAAAGTACCTGGGTCCCGTTTTCAGCAGAGGGCAGTGGACATTATTTAGTTTTTTATTCACTGATCTCTTTTTTTCTCTCTAAGCATGGCTCTTCTCATCTTCCTCTTTAATGAAGCAATATTTGAGTTCAGGTGCAGTTTTTCTGAGTTCCTGAAAGAAGTAGGGGTAGCAGCTTATAGTTGAACTTATTGTTTGACACGTTAGTGGGTGCTCTCCAAGGTTATGTATATTCAGCTCTGGGTTTGAATCATTGGAGCTAGCTGTGTTCAGAGGGACTTGTTTGAAGTGATGTTTATTCAAGGCTTTTTGTCAAGTTGGATATACTTTGGCTTGGGATCTAATGGTGTATATATACATAGGGTTTTGTTTTGTTTTTTTTTTTGATGTCTTAATCTCTTGGTTACTTATGACATGTATGATTACTTTGGGCCCATTCATTTGCCTTTCCAGTCTCCAATAGATGGGAAATCTGTTTCTGCATAGCCCTATAGCTTCTGTATATCATATCACGTATAGTTTCTTACTACATGGGAAAAATTTTCTTTATATCCCTGTGTCTATCATAGAAGTAAGAATGACCTTACTTCTATGGATTTGGCCCATGAACTCTAATCTTCCAGTATTCTGCTTGAATGTTTTTTCTCCTCTGACCTCAGGTTCTACTTGTCCTCATGGAGGTTCCAGGGCAGCAGCGACAGCACAGTTCTCCTAGTTTTAGCATTTCTTATTGCATCTCTTTCTTTGTTTAGCCTGCAGGTTATGATCTCCAGAACCAAGATTGTCCTCCACCCTCTCTTTTCTGGGAGCCTCCTTACTCCTGAATGCTGCTGCTTACCTAGATTGTTAGGACCTACACATTTAGAAACTGACCTTTTCATTGGGAGAACTAAAAGGTTGAGATTGTTACACTTTTCTTTTTTTGGTTTGAGAACAAATTGAACTAATGTGCATTATCTTGTAAAAAGTCTCTTCTGCAGAAAATATAGTCATCTTTATAAAATACTGATTTTTCACCCTTCTGCCGAGGTTGTACCTGTTATCGTTGTGTGAGATGCAGGATGTGGAAAGTCATCTTGCCTCCTCCCTACCCAGTGTTAGTCTTATCACCCTGATGCAGATATTGCTGAGATAGCTTGCTGTTTTGGTTTTCAGAAGCCAGTATTTATAGAGGCAGTATGTATAAAAATCCCAATCAGAACCATACTGATCCTAATTTACCTGGAAGTTTGGTTCTGCCTTAGAAATTGCTTCATACCTTTGTCCCATCCATAAAAGGAGTTTAGCTTCTAAGTAACTCCTTTTCCCACAAGGTCTAAAGTAGCTGCTTAAAATTTAATGGCATTTTTTTTCTAGTCTTTATTCGTTCCATTCTTGGGTCCATGATTTTTAGTTTTAGGCTCTTCTTGGGGATCTTGGACATGATTTTTGAGGGAAGTATAGTGTCATATTTGCATCTTTGTTTTTGAAACCACAAACGAACTTTCTTTTTTTTTCAGTATTGGGGTTTGAACTCAGGGCATACACCTTGAGCCACTCCAGCCCTTTTCCTTTTTTTTGTGATGGGTTTTTTGAGATAGAGTTTTGGCAAATTATTTGCTCGGGCTGGCTTGGAATCTGGATCCTCCTATTCTCTGCCTCCTGAGTAGTTAGCATTACAGGTATGAGCCACCAGCGCCTGGCTTTAACTTTGAGACAATAAAAACTTGTACGGTGTTGTTTGGCCAACAAGTAACAATATTCAAGGCTGAGGAGGACCTGCTTATTTCCTTTGCATTTTTGTTTCCATACTCCATGGTTTGGAAAGGAATTCTCTTTTCAAGTTTTGTTTTCTCAAGTACCACTTCAGCTGATACATATATGACTCTTCAATTCCTTTCCTTCAAGATGAAAAGGAATTGATTCTTACAAGATATTTCGCTCAAACACCCAAAATTGGCCTAGTTCTTAACTAGTTACAGGTTTTTTTTCCCCAGGCCAAACTTGCTAGCAATTAAGGGAGACAGGGCCTAACAACAAGGAAAAATAAATGCCTTGCAGAGTTAAGATCTTGTTATAGAAACTTGAGAATCTTAGCTCTAATACAGTGTACTGAAGTCCAGCTGTCCTAGGAAGGCTTTAACTTAAAATGAGAGCCAGGGGGCTGCCTGGTCCTCCACTCTAACTGCCTTCCCATTCAGTCATGTATTAATCCCATGTTTAACTTGTCAGGTTTGTTTTCTCAGTGACCATGGTCTGTTGATTTTACTTATCTAGAAAATAGTATAGGTGAATATAGATTAGTTAGTCACTATATTTTGTCAAATACACTGATGGAATTTATTAGAGGGCATGCTGGGACTGTTCTTGCCACCCATTTATTCGATGGGTTTATTTTGTCCTTTCAGAAACCACAATCATGGGTTCGGGTCCCATAGACCCCAAAGAACTTCTCAAAGGCCTGAATAGCTTCCTTAACCGAGATGGGGAAGTGAAGAGTGTGGATGGGATTTCCAAAATCTTCGGGTGAGTCTGTAGCCTTCTTTAGATTCACTGTGAGTAGAGGACCTTGTGCATTATAATATGGCTATACTTGAGGCAACAGAACTGAGTTCTGGAGAGATAAGGGGGAAAGAGTAAATGGAAGAGGATTCAAGTCTGTTGGTACTAAGTAATAGGAAAAGATCGCTTATTTTCTGGTTATAATGGAATCTGGAGATTTGGGTATCTAGAGTCCCAAGGGAAGCTCAAATCCAGTACCACCAAAATAAATAGAGTCTCAAAGGAGTGACACTTTGAAATGATAGCACTGGAGCCTGGGAACAGAATTCTTTTGGGTCATGTTCCACCTACCCAAAATATGATTCCTTTAGCGATCCTCAAAGTTTTCCAGGGAAAAGCAAATAACTAAGCCAGTCTTAAACATACTACGAAGGGATGTTTGTTGAAGTCTAGATTGTTTACCTAGAGACAGAATTATGTATCCTGTGTGTTAGGGAAGGATCGGTCCTTCCCTCACAGAGACTCAGTGCCTCCTCAGTTAGTTTTCCATCCTCCCTTGGGATTCCATGTCACTCTGGTTTTTATTTTTTTATATTTTACTTTATTTTGGGGTGGGGTGGGGGGGACTATAGTTTGAACTCAGGGTTTCACACAAACTGTTTGCCCAGGCTCACCTCAAACTGAGACAGAGATCAGGAGGATTGAGGTTTGAAGCCAGCCCAGGCAAGTAGTTCATGAGACCCTATCTTAGAAAAAGCCATGAAAGGCTGGTGGAGTGGTTCCAAGTGGTAGAGTGCCTGCCTAGCAAGCATGAGCCCTGAGTTCAAGCAAAAAAAAAAAAAAGGAGAAAAAGGAGACGGCTGTCTAACTCCAACTCATCTCTTGCAGTCTGATGAAGGAAGCACGAAAGATGGTGAGTCGATGTACCTACTTGAACATTCTCCTGCAGACCCGATCATCAGAAATACTGGTCAAGTAAGTGGAGAGTGGGTGGCTAAAAGATGGTGGGAGAGGAGTTCCTGTCTCATTGATGGAGGACTAGGCATGTGGAATGTGGGAATACCCAGGGGCATTACAGATTATGCTCCTGTCTGCCTACAGGTTTATTGACGTTGGTGGCTACAAGCTTCTTAACAATTGGCTAACATATTCAAAGACAACCAACAACATTCCTCTACTTCAGCAAATTCTACTGACCTTGCAGCATCTACCGCTCACAGTGGACCATCTCAAGCAGGTACCTTCAGTCTTCATGCTTCTTTTTTGAGGTAGCCTAACAGTGGAAAAACTAAGAGGCAGTATGGAGTTTGTGAGGTAAAATGGTAGAAAATAGGAATTTGGAACCAGAAGACTTGGCTTTTAAATGTATCTCTAATAAGTGTGTGACTTGGTACACTGCATATATCTGAGCCTTAGTTTTTTCATTACAAAATGGAAGTAATTGTACCTACCTAATTGGGCCATTGTAAGGATTAAATAAGAATGTATCTAAACATATTTTGTAAAAGGTAAAGTACTCTGTCAGTGTTAGTCACCATGATGGAACTACAAGAGGGTGTCAGTGAGTTTGTGGGTATAGTTAGCTTATTTCTCCTGGCATTTACCTTTCTGCTGCTCCCATCTCTTACAGAACAACACAGCCAAACTGGTGAAGCAGCTGAGCAAATCAAGTGAGGATGAAGGTAGGGTGCCAGTCCTCCCCGTTGCAGGCTTTCTCCCTTGCCATGCAATTTTCAGTTTTTCTCCCGGTCTTTGGGTTATCTTTTAACTCCTGCCTTCCTCTTTCTAATTCACCTTACTTATCTCTTTTTGTTTAAAAAATTTAAGTCCTCTGACCTGTCCTCTCTTCTCTGCTATCAATTTTAAATGAAATTTGTCCATTTCTCTGCTATTAGATATAAGACAAGGGGCCATACTTCAACTGGAAACTAATTAAGTTCTCTTAGTATAAAAGGCATAGGCTTAAAATTCCTGGGGGAAATATTGTCATCTTAGAGTCTCATAACCATTTACTTCTGTTTTTCTAAACAAATAAAGCATATTCTTGGGCTTTCAATACCTGTTTTCCTAATAGTAGAACAAACATATTTCTGGGGCTGGGTGTATGGCTGGGTAATGTGGTAGAGCGTCTGCGTAGCAAGTGCAAGACCCTGAGTTCCTCAGAACAACCAAAAGAAGGCGGAGAGGTAGGGAGAGTGGAAGAGAGAGACATATATCTGTAGGGTATGGGAAAAATCCTAACTTCTAGAGTACATCATAGCTCTGATAGCACATTATTTCTTTTTTTTGTAGTACTAGGGTTTGAGCTCAGGGCCTTGTGCTTGCTATATATTCTTTCTTTTCTGAGACAAAGACAAACATCATATAATTCAGGTTTGAGGATAAAGCCTGGTTCCCAAACATAACAACCTTTCCTTTAGAGATGTAGACTTTCCTTTATCTCTATCAGGGGCTTAAGCCAGGAGCACAATATGCATAGTATGTTTTTCAAACACCCCATTTTCTGTTTACTGAAAGGTTATTAAATTAGTCCTAAATTATTTGTTCTTTCTTTTTCCCTCACTTGCAGAGCTCCGGAAATTGGCATCAGTCCTTGTCAGTGACTGGATGGCTGTCATCCGCTCCCAGAGTAGTACCCAGCCTGCTGGTAAGCTCTTAATCCTTTATCCCTGGTAATTATTTCTTTCCAATAAGGATGTAGCCTTCAGGTGCCCCCAGTCAGCTTCACCTCTGACAGTCTTTATCTAAATGAAATCCTTTTCTGCTTTGGTTTTCCATGACAGAGAAAGATAAGAAGAAACGTAAAGAAGAGGGAAAGAGTAGAACCACTCCTCCTGAGCGACCTCTGACTGAGGTGAAGGCTGAGACCCGGGCTGAGGAGGCCCCAGAGAAGAAGAAGGAGAAGCCCAAGTCTCTTCGAACAACAGCACCCAGTCATGCCAAGTTCCGTTCCACCGGTAAGGCTGTTGGCTGGGCCTGGAGGGCTGCAGGCACATGCACAGCCAGAGCCTCATGCCGGAGTAGTTTGATTTGTAATATCAAATTTCTCTGTGGAAGGAAGGCTAATGGAGAAGCTAGGGTTGGGAGTGGGGGGTTTATACAAGGCTAGAGGAACATCTTGGGGTGGGACCAGGGAGGAATAGTAAGTGCTGGTGTGAATTGAACTGCTAACACTATGTGTCTTCCCAGGACTAGAGCTGGAGACACCATCTTTGGTGCCTGTAAAGAAGAACGCTAGCCCAGTGGTGGTGTCTGACAAGTACAATCTTAAGCCCATCCCCCTCAAGCGTCAGAGGTATGGTGGACAGTAATATCTGAGGTGGGTGGGAGAAAGAAGAGTGTGAGACCAAGGTGTTATTGACTTTTCCTCTTCTTACAGCACCATGGCTGCTCCAGGAGATACTGCCCCCCCTGCGAGAAAAAGTATAAGCCTCTCAACACAACACCCAATGCCACCAAAGAGATCAAAGTCAAGATCATCCCACCTCAACGTGAGTCTAAAGTGGGGATACACTTGGAATTGGGAGCAAATTCTTCTGGGAGGGGGAAGGTGGTTTTTCATTCTCTTTTATTGTTTTCCTTCATTTGCCTTTGATTTCTTGGTGTTCTTTAATTTCTGCCTTCTGAAACTCCCCTTTCATAGGGTTACTTAGTGATGTTAGAGATGAGGTAGGGAGATGTGCCGTCTAGTGACCTGTCAGAGGCACTACCACTAGGCAGACAGTCTTTGACTTGGTTCATCGCTTACCTGCCTTCTAATTCCTATCCAAAGCCATGGTTTGCCTGCCAAAAGAAAAGTGGAGTAATGACAGGAACTTCCTGTGTGAGCCCTCCTGCATGAGCATCCTGGTCACCTTGGGCTTTTGTGTTCTAAATTGAGGCAAGAACTCCACTGGCTGATTTTCTGCCTGGATTTTGTAGGGATAGGATTGTGAAGGAGGTCTGATGATTTTATTTTGTATCCTTTCCTTTTGTAGCTATGGAAGGCCTGGGTTTTCTGGATGCCCTCAATTCAGCCCCTGTCCCAGGCATCAAAATTAAGAAGAAGAAGAAGGTGTTGTCACCTACTGCTGCCAAGGTATTGGCCCCTAGAAGGGGTGTCAGTGATAGGGTACAATAGAAGGAAGGGCAGAGTTGCAAGGAGTTATTGGGGGGTGACAGCAGAGGAGTTTAGTCTTGTATGTAGTCTGGCGCATGGGGTGGGACTGTGTTAGAGTATGAGTCTTCCTTAATATTGGGCATTGAGCATTTTGCCTAGGACCCTGGACTAATGGCCCTGCCTTGATCTTGCCTTTCTGCCAGCTCATTAACTTCTTTATCTTTAATAGCCCAGCCCCTTTGAAGGGAAAACCAGCACTGAACCATGCACCACCAAACCCTCTTCCCCAGAGCCGGCACCCACTTCTGAACCTATGGACACAGACCGCCCTGGCACCCCCGTGCCACCTGTTGAAGTCCCAGAGCTCGTAGACACAGGTAACCTGGAAACTTCTGGGCTTTGTCGGGTTTCTGGATGGAAGGATCTGGGTCTGAAACTTACTTTTGCTTCCAGCCTCTTCAGAACCAGGAGCTCTAGATGCAAAGCCAGTGGAGAGCCCAGGAGATCCTAGCCAGCTGACCCGGAAGGGCAGGAAGAGGAAAACAGTGACGTGGCCTGAGGAGAGCAAGTTGAGAGAGTATTTCTATTTTGAACTGGATGAAACTGAACGAGGTAAGAGCAAAGTTCCGTATATAATAGATTTGTATAGGAAATTTTAAAAGGACTCAGTTGTTCTTACATCCCTGTTTGCTCTTTTTTTCCCATGATAGTAAATGTGAATAAGATCAAGGACTTTGGCGAGGCAGCTAAACGAGAGATACTGTCAGACCGACATGCATTTGAGACAGCCCGGCGTTTGAGCCATGACAACATGGAGGAGAAGGTGCCCTGGGTGTGTCCCCGCCCTTTGGTTCTTCCTTCACCTCTTGTCATCCCTGGAAGCAACAGCCAGGAGCGATACATCCAGGCTGAAAGGGAGAAAGGAATCCTTCAGGAGCTTTTCCTGAATAAAGAGAGGTGAGGAGAAGTGTTCATGCCTTGGACTGTGGAGCCCTTGCACTCCTAAGCTGGGGAACACAGCCTGGGGAAGTTAGGGGATGGAAGCTACAGAGAACTTCAAGGACCTTAATAAATAATTCGAAAATCATTTTTATTTTCTTCTCTCCCATTGCCTGCGGTATTCCTGATAGTCCTCATGAGCCTGATCCTGAACCCTATGAGCCCATACCCCCTAAACTCATCCCCTTAGATGAGGTGAGTCCGTAGTATGTAGTGATGGTGGGTGACAGTGGAGGTGATGGTCATTGATTTCATTGCCTCTACGTGAGAATGCTGCATTCTTTTCATTAGTCCTGATTTGTCTTCTGTTCTTAGGAGTGTTCCATGGATGAGACACCATATGTTGAGACCCTGGAGCCTGGGGGGTCTGGTGGTTCACCTGATGGGGCAGGAGGCTCCAAGTTGCCTCCAGTTCTGGCCAATCTTATGGGAAGCATGGGCGCTGGGAAGAGCCCCCAAGGACCTGGAGGAGGAGGCATTAATGTCCAGGAGATCCTCACCTCCATCATGGTATGTGATCTTCCTTCCTCTTTTCCATTTTCTATGGATCTAAGTGTTTTCTGATTGTACCATTCTTTACTCCAGGCTTTTTTTTTTTTTTTTGAGATGGGGTCTACTGTGTTGCCCATGCTGGCCTAGAGCATGCTATAGCCCAGGCTGGCCTTGAACTGCAATCCTCCTACTTCAGTTTCCTGAATGCTGGAATTATATGTGTGCAACACCACATCTCAGTTAACCCAGTTCTTTTGAGTCCTCCACTTACCTCCTAAATTTTGGCTCTTTCCCTCCTGGTTGTTAGCCTTGCTCTCTATTGACTTTGCCCTCTTATATCCTCACAGGGAAGCCCAAACAGCCATCCTTCAGAGGAACTGCTAAAACAGCCAGACTATTCAGACAAGATCAAGCAAATGCTGGGTAATCTTCAGGGCTGGCCCCAGGGACCTGGGAGAGGAAGCCAGCAGTACAGTTCGGGGAAATGGTGTTTCACAGACGCTGAAGAGAGCACAGGGTTGTTGCCACTAGGCAAGAAATGGGAGACACCAGAGCACCAGTGGCTCACATCTATAATCCTAGCTACTTGAGAGTCTGAGATCAGGAAGGTTGAGGTTCAAAGCCAGCCTGGGCAAGCAGTTCATGAGGGCTCTCTACTCCCATCTCCAAAATAACCAGAGCAAAATAGACTGGAGACGTGACCCAAAAAAGAAAGAAATGGGAGGGGAAGACTGGACATAGCATGGTTCTGCTAGTTTTATCTGAGGGTGTTACTTAGGCACAGGTACATGGGGAACCATGACATTTTTCTAGAATCCTGTTGATTATTGTTCTACTCCATTTTTCATTAACAGTGCCACATGGACTCCTAGGTCCTGGTCCAATAGCCAATGGCTTCCCACAAGGAGGCTCTGCGGGTCCCAAAGGCATGCAGCACTTCCCCCCTGGACCTGGGGGACCTATGCCAGGTAGGTGGGGAGTGGGTGGTTGCAGTAGCTTGTCTGCTTAGTTTCTGCCTGGTAGTAACCAAAAGGTGGGAGGTGGTTTAGATTGGCAGTCTTAACTGAAATGGGTAACTGTCTCTTTTTTCCTTCCCAACAGGTCCCCATGGAGGCCCTGGTGGACCAGTGGGTCCCCGTCTCCTGGGTCCCCCACCCCCTCCCCGGGGGGGTGATCCCTTCTGGGATGGCCCAGGTGACCCCATGCGGGGTGGCCCAATGCGTGGGGGTCCCGGACCTGGCCCTGGACCATACCATAGAGGCCGAGGTGGCCGAGGAGGAAATGAGCCTCCTCCTCCTCCTCCATTCCGAGGGGCCAGAGGAGGTCGCTCTGGAGGAGGACCTCCAAATGGACGAGGTCCTGGTGGGGGCATGGTTGGAGGTGGTGGACATCGCCCCCATGAAGGCCCTGGTGGGGGCATGGGCAGCAGCAGTGGACATCGTCCTCATGAAGGCCCTGGTGGCATGGGTGGTGGCAGTGGACATCGTCCTCATGAAGGCCCTAGCGGTGGCATGGGCAGTGGTAGTGGACATCGCCCCCATGAAGGCCCTGGTGGAGGAATGGGCAGTGGACATCGCCCCCATGAAGGCCCTGGTGGTGGCATGGGTTCTGGCAGTGGACATCGTCCCCATGAAGGTCCTGGACATGGGGGACCCCATAGCCACCGGCCACATGATGGCCCTGGTCACCGAGGCCATGACCATCGAGGGCCACCACCTCATGAACACCGTGGCCATGATGGTCCAGGCCATGGAGGAGGCCACCGAGGGCATGATGGAGGCCACAGTCATGGAGGAGGTGAGGGTGACTTTTCGTGTCCCCTTCAACTTTCTGGAGAGTGGGGAGAGGCAGAACATACAAGGTGTCCTTGTCTTAACTTCCCTGTATGCATGGCACTTCCTGCCCTCTGCCTTTGCCCCAATTCCCAAGGTAGTCTACTGAAGACAGTTATCAGGATGCCCTGGACTGGGTGATGAGGATGGCACTGACCTCTTCTCTTAGCCATTTCCTATCTAACCATTCTGCTGTTATTCCCACAGACATGTCAAACCGCCCTGTCTGCCGACATTTCATGATGAAAGGCAACTGCCGCTATGAGAACAACTGTGCCTTCTACCATCCGGGTGTCAACGGGCCTCCCTTGCCCTAGGGACCACCTACCTGTCCCCCCACTCCCATGTGGACTGCAGCCTTGCTCCTTCCACCCTGTTATGGCTTCTGTGAGGCCCATTTCCCCCTTTCCCCAGCTGATGAGGAGCCGGCCCCCTCAGTTCCCACCTGCTTGGGTTCCTAGGGGTTTTCTGATCACTGGTGCGCATTGATGTACATATTTTTCTCCAGTCTGGGGAGGAGAAAGACTAGACACATTCTGTACCCTTGACTGCTGAAGAGGAGACCCACCTGGCTTCACTTACGAGGAAATTCAACCTGTGACCCAAACCCCTTTCCAGTATTAACTTCTAATGCCTGAGAACCTAAAGCTGGTTATCCTGGAGACAGCTGTGCTCTCCCATTATGGGTTCTCATGCACACAGAATTCAGACATAAGATCAGCTGCACTTAGGAAAACCATCCCAGCCAAGTTCATTATTATTCATGGGGTGGGGAGATGGTGAGGGGTATTATATATCCCACTGCACTGAGAGGGCTCAAGTAGGCTGGATTTGAGTTCTGGAATACATCCCCACTCCTGTCCCAACATGGGCTCTTCACACTTGAGTCCTTTCTGAAGTATAAGACTGCATTTGTCAACACCCAAGCCTGTATAATGGGTCTGCTAGGTTCAATGATGGCAAACTCATGTCTGCGTTCAGTGAAAGTTTTAGCTGGCAGAGATGAGGCATATGGTGTTGGTCCACCCTTGCCTACATCCATTCTGAAGACTTCGTAAAACACTTCAGTGAAACCAGCTTTTCATCAATTTAAGCCCAGCATGCTGGGCCCGCCAGTCACACTACATGCACTGCCTTTGGGAGTTTGCTCCTTGCCCTCACTTGGAACCTTGTCAGTGTGAGGCTTCTAGCAACCTCACCCTGTCAGCCACCTCCTGGGTGGATTCAACAAGATGATTTCGCCCCTTCTCAGTCCTCTCCTTCACCTGTCTTGGCATCAGTTGTTTTCTATGAAAACAGTGGATTGGTTGGGTTTTGTGCAGGGTTTTGGGTTAGAACCACAATGGATTTGAGGATGAATATTTTCTTTTTCTTTGGTTTTGTATATTTTGTACATTAATAATAAACAGTGGAAAGAGAAGCAGCTTATTTAACCCTTGGTGTGCCTGGCCTTTTTTTAAAAGAAGGAAAAAAAAGCTCTCAGTTGTTTCTAAGTATGTTAGTAAAAGCCTTTATGGAAATCTTCCAGTCCTTTCAGGCTAACACTTGTTCTGCCTTCAAGTCACAGTTGGTGATGAGTACTGATAAGGGAATACAGCAGTCTTGTGGGGGGTGAGGGGAGATGGGGATTAGTTTCAGGCCATCCACACCCTATGTATACCAAAATCCAAGGATGCGCAAGTCCCTTATAGCACAATGTAAGTCCTATGTAAATAATTACTATATTGCTTAGGAAATGACAAAAATGTCAGTACATGCTTACAATTTTTTTGGCAATACTGGGGTTTGAACTCCAGACTTCATGCTTGCTAGGCAGATGCTCTACCACTTGAGAGCACCTGCCCTTTTTTGTTTGGGGTTTTTGAGATAGGGTCTCCAGAACTATTGGCCTGGGCTGGCTTGGAATCACAGTCCTGATCTCTGCCTCCTGAGTATCCAGGATTACAGATGTGAGCTACCAGCACTCAGCTGCCATTTTTTTGAAATGGTTTCCTTACGTAAACAAGGCCTTGAACTCCTGCTTCACTCTCCTGAGTGCTGGGGTCACAGGCATATGCCCTCTATAAAGCAAAACTTTGAATTTCTAGATGTGGACCACAGATACAGAGCTAATTGTATTTTGAAACATATGACACCAGAGACTATAAAGTAGATCCTGTGATCAATACTGAGCAGTGGGACCTCTGGGAGCCCAGAACTGCTCAGACTGCCAGAGACACATACATATTTGGTTATGGGCCTATGGGTCCTAGCTGAACCTCCTACCAACCTTAGAGAGCTGCTTAAGGGAGAAATGGGAGTGGAGCAGGAAAATCCGACTGGTTTCTGGAAGGAGAACAGAAGTTTGAACTCAGGACCTTGTGCTTGAGTCCCAGCCCATTTTTTTCTTTTTGGTGGGACTGGGATTTGAACTCAGGACTTCATGCTTGCTAAGCAGGTGCTCTACCACTTGAACCATTCTCCCCCAGATCTTATTAAGAGGGTTTAGCTGGTTGTCAGTGACTCATGCCTGTAATACTAGCTATGTGGGAGGCAGATATTAGCATGATTTTGGTTAGAAGACAAAAGACCCTATCTTTTTAGAAAGAAAAAGAAAGTGGAGTGGCTCAAGTAGTAAAAGTGCCTGCCTAGCAAGTGTGTGTGAGGTCCTGAATTTAAACCCAGTAACAAAAAAAGGTTGTGGGGCTTGGAGAAAGTGAGAAACTAGGGAGATAAATTGGCCCCCCCCCCGCCAAAAATGGCTCTGCAGAGTAAGAAATAGGTCTGCTGCTAAATGCAGGGTAAAATAATTTTTAGTTCTTCAGGGTAGAGCTAGCTAATGGAGTAAGATTCCTAGAGACAGGAGGCTTTGCAGACCAGGAGATGTAGAGGTAGGATTATGTTGGAAGTTCTGCTATTCTTGAAACCAGAGTAGGGGCAAAAGCCAAGCAACACCAGATGTTGGGGTGTACGCAGTTTAAGAACAATGTGTTAGCATTTTCTTTTAGTTGGCAGCACTGAAGTTTGAATTTGGGGCCTCATGCTTACTAGGCAGGTACTCTACCACTTAAGCAACTAAAACGGTGTTTTTCAAATGACTCATTCTTCAGAATCATGACAGGCCTGAAAGAAGACAACCGGAGTCCGCTCCAGGCAAGTTTCTGATTCAGGAACAGGTCCTGAGACTCCGCACTCCTAGCAAGTTCCCTTGATCTGGGGACACCCAGATCAGTGCTCGAGATACCAGAGCTTTGGTTGTTGTTTCCTGCACTGGCCACTTCTTTCACCCAAAGGCCTGACATTCAGCAAGGCTAGGAGGCCTAGTTTTACCTTTGCCCAGCCTTGTGAGGGGAATCAGGTCAGTCTATTGCTCTGTAAACTGGGAGAGAAAGACATAAGAAGACATAATCTAAGAAGCAAACACCACAAAGGCAGACAGCTTAAGTGAAAAAAACAAAGGAACCCATCCCAACCTAGTGGCCACAATTCTCCTTGTGGCTCCATCTACTACTGGATTCTCCCCTTCTGTAAGCTTAGGTTATCTTTCAGGAGAGCTAAACACATTTCTCATATTTTTAAGGCTTAGTTTTTATTTTTTGGCAGCAGTGGGGTTTGAACTCAAGGTCTCACACTTGCCAGGCAAGTGTTCCAACTTCTTGTATTTTTAAAATAAATTTAACCATTTTCTTTCAAATCCTACATGAAAATTTAAAGGAACCTGTTGCTTTTAGCTTACATATTCTTTTTTTTCCTGGTGGTTGAGTTGTATTCAGAATAGACACACAAGGACCTACAGTCCAGGTCCTCTTTCAGTTCCCTGTGGTCACAGGCTTTCCTGGCCTTCATCTTTCCCACTGTGGTAGAGTATCCCCTAAAACGCTTCATGTTCCTTAAGACAGGCTTTCATGCTCCTTTGGGATGCATCAAGTCACCCTGTCCACATTCTAGATTAGGGAGGAAAACCTGAGGACACTGGAGTCAGGTAAACCAGGGCCACCATTCCAGCACTCAGCCCTCTCCAGATTGGGCGACCATCAGCAGGTTAATGTTCATGTCTGTTTCCTCATGAGCAAAGTGTGGAGTCACTTTCTTTTTTGGTGGTATGGGGTTTGAACTCAGGGCTTGTGCTCACTAGATAGGTGGCACTATCAGTTCAGCCATGCCCAACCATCCCTTTTTGCTTCAGGTATTAGTGCCTCATGTTTATGCCAGTGGGCCTGGACCACTATCCTATTTCTGCTTCCCACATGACTGGGATGACAGGTACACATCACCATGCACAGCTCCTTTTTTTGGTTGAAATGGGAGTCAAGAACTATTTGCCTGAGCTGGTCTTGAACTATAACCCTCTCAACCTCTGCCTCCTAAGTAGCTAGCATTATAGGCTGAGCCACCAGTGCCTAGCTGGAACATCACTACTTTAAAAAAAGACAATTCTAGCTGGGTACCAGTGACTCACACCTGTAATCCTAGCTACTCAAGAGACAGAGATCAGGAAGATCATGGTTCAAAACCAGCCCAGGCAAATAGTTCAAGAGACCCTATCTCAAAAACATCTAAAACAAAAAGGGGATACGGAGGGGCTCAAGTGGTAGAGTGCCTGACTAGCAGAAGTAAAGCCTTAAGTTCAAATCCCAGTACTACCCCCCCATAAAAAAAAAAAAAACACTGTAGTGCTTATTATGTGCAACATTCATGCATAACATGTAAATAACAAAAATTCAGTTTATAAATAAAAATATTTAATTCTATTATTGAAATTTTACTTTTTTTTCAGGCTTTGGGTTGCCTATATACTACAATGTAACTTTTTCCTTTTGTGTTCCATTTCTATGCTGTTCTTTCTTAGATGTGGGGCAAATTTTTGCCCATATTTAGGTGAATACTAACTGTATTACACAGTATATACATTGAAGGAAGAAATGAAATCTCTGTCGATGGATAAAAGTACTTGTGGTGAAATTTATGATCAGAAACTTGAAAAGCAAAACTTTGGTGTTTCCTTAAGTAACATTCCTATATATTTTGCGTACTATCTAGATAATGCAGTGAAGATTTAAACTGTAGTCTATCATGAACCAAAAGTAGAAACTTAAAATCATTTTAATTACTACACATTTCCCTAAATAGTTCCACTTCACAGAACTGCAAAAATCCCATACCAGCTGCTTGGCACTAACCCTGATTTCCCCCCAAATTCCTTAAGAGGGGTGCTTCTCTTAATTGCAACTACCTCTATACCAATCCCACTTCTGATATGAACCTGTGCTTCACGTCCAGGGTTATTTATTCTGCTGGTTGGAAAGTAACTTCCCCAAATCAGTTGGCCAATCTAGTCATGCTCTCATAAATTCCCCAGTGTTTTCTTCCTTCCAAGCCTTAGATCTGCTTTTCCTACTTTTGAAAATGGCTATCCCCAATTATTCAAGTCCTTACTATTTTTCATGGTCTCCCCTCAAACAATCCTACCAAGTAATTGATTTTGAGTCTAAAGTACTACATATTTGACAATCATATTACACTGTATATATTCATGCCTTTGGTTTTGGGCAGTACTGAAGTTTGAACTCAAGGCCTTGTGCTTGGCTCAGCAGGCACTCTACTGCTTGAGTCACTCCACCAGCCCTTTTTCGGTGATGGAGTTTTTCAAGATAGGGTCTCTTGAACTACATGCCCAGGGCTGGCTTTGAACAGCAATCCTCCTGATTGCTGCTCCTGAGTAGCTAGGATCAGACATGGGCCACTGGCACCCAGCTCCTGCCTTATTTTTGAAGTCCTCACTAACTATTCACAAAAGTAGAGCTTGCCTTTTCCCTTCTTATATACTCCCCTGTACTGAGAATTTTTCAAGAGCATCGGTACAAGAGCATCAATATCAGATCTATCTGCATTGGGGGGAAGAGGGGATACTAATTGCTGAGGAAACTGAAGATGACAAATCAAGATTGAAAAGAGTTCCAACTTCCATGAATCTCCAAACAGTGACAGAACAGCAGCAACTCCTTTTATTTCTTCCCTTTGTAATAGGAGATTCAAGTTCAGCAGCTTTCCTTTCCTGCCCTCAAGTCCCCAACCAGACAAGCAACCACAGTTACCTGGTCTTGGGCTGGGTAACAGCACAGGCCTCAGACACTCGCCTCCAGCTCTGAGGTTCAGTGGTTGTTTGTGTCAGTAAGTCAGCACTAAACCCACCAGAAAAGAAGAGCACCACTCAAAGACTCGGAGGTAACTGGGCCTGAAGCTTTAAATGGACCAGAGGCAGTCTTCTGAGTGATGAGTCTCAAGACAAAGGAGTCACCTAAGTTTGGCCGGAGGGAACCCCACAATGAAAGTCACCTCTGTTTGTACAGAGGGATGTTGAGGGCAAGGCCAGCTCAGTTATCTGAAGAAAAGTGGAATACGTAAGTCTTTCAGAGGGAAGGAAGCAATCTAAGTGGTATTCTGGTCACATCAATGCTCAACACTCCACCTCCATGTGTCTAAGTAGTTGCGGGTTCAGCTGCAGACCAGAGGGAGATTTCCGAGTGGAGAAGGGGAGATGACAGGGGACCTGTAGGCCACGTGAACTTGTCTCTTGGGAGACTTCCAAGAGGGAGAACTCATTCTCGAGGTCGGTTGACCATGACTTCACCCAGAGCCTCCAACACCTCTCGCTTGTAGTCCTCAAAGTCACCATCAATTTGGCTAACGCTCTGCTCCTCCACCACCCACAGCTGGCAGTTGGTTTCTGTGATGAGTCGGGCATCATGGCTGACAACAATCACAGCTTTGGAGAAAGATGGTGAAAACAGAAGGCAAGAAGGGATTCAGAACACAAGAAAAGGGAGCCCTGAGGACACTACCACTTGCCCCGTAAGGGGAGAGGGAGGGCATGTTCTAAGCAGACTTACCACCCTTGTATTCATTGATGGCCTCCCCTAGAGCATCAATAGACTCTATGTCCAAGTTATTGGTTGGCTCATCCTATGCAGAAGGAAGAATTCCATAGCTGAGCACTTCAACTCCTGCCTTCCAGTAGTTACCCTTACTCCCTCTCCTATGATCCAGCTCACTCACCAAGATGAGGACATCAGGCTCCCGACAAGCCAGCTCTGCAAACACAACGCGGGCTTTTTGTCCACCTGTAGCAGTGGAAAAGGAGGTCTATCAGGTCTTCTAACACCCTAGATTCAAGGTAAACCCTGAAGATGTGCCTCTGTATGTGCTGAGGCTCCCCTATTCCTGGTTCCTCTTCTTTTGGTCTCTAGGAAAAATCTGTATTTGAGTAAGGAGGAGAGCACTCTACCTAGCCCCCTGGAGTGGTACCTGAGAGTTTGCAGATCTGGATGGTATGTGCATGACTCTCAAGGCCAAAGCGGCCTAGGCACTTTCGAGCATCCTGGTAGGGCAGGTTGAAGCTCCGCTGCAGGTATTCAGTGGGTGTCTCCTCCATGTGCAGCTGCTCTGCATACTGCTGGTTGAAGAAGCCAATTTTCTGCCCGGGAGGAGAGGGAGATGACTGGATAAAGTCATGTTGCTTCCATCAGATTTTCATTCCCTAATTTCCAAAGTCAACTTACCAGCCGGTGGTTCTTTCTCATTTCCCCACGGGTCTGCAAGGAAAAAGCAAGTGGTCAGAGTATCCAAACTCTTCTGAAGGAAATACCACATCTGGGCTGGGAACAACTGCCACAGGAAAGGGAACATGGATATTCTCCCTAATAGGAGAAAGGCACATCCAAGGAAACTTCAAGAGTAAGGGGCAGAAGAGTATAGGAGAAGGAAAATAAAGGAAGGGAGGCAAAAAGGACAACTAAGAAGGGATTTCCCCATCTACATCAAGATTCATGAACAGCAGTGTTATGGTTCTACCTCAGATTGGAGGTGTGAGGGACCTAATAACACCTACTCAATGGGTGTGACAGAGGACAAATGCTACAACCTCTCTAAATGCTCTGCATGGCTATACAAAGTCCTAAAGGCAATTCCAAATGACTGCTACCAAATAAATTATAGTCAGTCATGTAAAATGAATGAGTACATACATAACTGCTAGCATAGAAAAATGCTTGATGTGTATTATCTGAGAAAGGCTGGCTACAAAACAATTCATATGATAGCCCATTTTGTAAGAAACACAATACACATTTACAAAGGATATATAGAGAAAATTATCCACCAAAGCATTAATAACAATTATTTTTGTAATTTCCCCCTGGCTTATGTAATTTCTAATCATTCTATAATGCTATACATCTTTTGTATAAACAAAACATATGGGAGGGGGTACCTCCAGCCCAACCCCAGTCCTCCTCTCTCCCCCACTCTGGGAACAGAGCTAAACTCCCCTTCTCTGCTGTTTCTTAGGGAGATGAATCATCTAGACAAGGTCTGTATTACTTCCACCTATGGGGAGCCTGCCTGACTCTAGCATCTGGTGAATGGCTGGGCCTTCACAATTCTCACCCTTTCCCTTCTTGGTTCCATGACTCACCGGCGTGAGCTTGCCTGTCAGCAGCAGGAGTAGTGTGCTCTTCCCAACGCCATTAGGGCCCACAATGCAGACTGCAAGAAGGAAGACAGTGGTCAGACTACGAGGTTCCCAAAACTCTACCTGTAACTCCTGCTCCAGAACCCCACGCTACCCAACACCAACTCACTCCTAGAGTCCATGTCGATGCCAAAATCCAGGTTCTTAAAGAGTGGTTTCTGCCCCTCATAGCCAAAAGTCACACCTAAGAGACAGGAAAAGCAGTAACTTACATTGTTCTAAGTCACCCAAAGACCACCCTGAGGGTTGGCGGTGTGGTTCAAGCATTGTTAGAGTGCCTGTCTAGCAAAGGTGAAGTCCTGAGTTCAAATCCCAGTACCGCCAAACAAACAACAACAAAAACAAAGACCATGCTACATGTCCTGGCCTAGGACGAAAAGAAGGGCCACAACCTTGATGGTGATCTAGGTACACATATCCCTGCCTTCCTGCTGGCTGTGAGCAGTCACTCACCATGCAGACCCAGCACAGGAGGGCTGAGTGGTGGCGGGTCTGGGAAGGTAAAGCGCACCGTGTACTCCTTGGGGCGCTTCAGGAGCTCAGGGGTTTCCTGGGATTCTTCATCCTGGTTTTTCCGTCGGCATTTCTGCTGTTTTCGAGTCAGGGCTTCCTTTGTTTGTTTTTCCTGGAGGAAGAAAGGGAGAAATCCATACACTGACCAGTAGTCCTTGGA